TAATAACTTTCATTAATTGCACAATGGCCCCTCCCAAAAGTGAAAACTGCACAATTGGCCCAAAATGAAAATATCTTCAAAAATATATTTTCTTAAAAACCCCTGAAATAAAATATCTTTAAAAGATATTTACGAAAAACACCCCAAGAAAAGAAAAAGTTTCCAAAGAACTTTGCATTCACGCCCCTATGGACACCGGGAGCAACCAGAGTACCTTTCTACAAAAGTAAAGATATGTATTTCGTGGAAACCACTTAGAATGAAGATACGTGAACTCAAAACCCAACTCTGAACACAAAGAGTGAGGTTACACCAACAAAGTAACAAACAGGGAAAAGACAAAATTAGGAAAATGACGAAAAAGTGAATAGTGTCCGAAAAATGAAAATGTGGAAATGACGTGGTCCTCAAAGGAAGTTGTCAATCCAAGGAAAAGAGTCTCGGAAATCATTCCAGAGCACTCGAGATGACACTAAGCGACGAGAAACCGAACTCAGAAAGGAAAAACAACAACGGAAAAAAAATATCTGTGAAAATCTAAGAAAAGGGAAAGGAAGGAAAATGACCGGGTTATTACATCAGATAAGTTTTAAGACTTACATTTATTTATTTCCTTTGTATGGAATTTCATTCACATGATTGTGTTTTGTATGAAATGAACTTGTAACTTGATATTGAACTAGTCCTTGACATATCTTGTTCGTAGAACATTTGTACTTGCCTTAAAACCTTAATAATTTAATCCCTTAAGTAGATTAAATTTCCATTTATGCTTCCGTTGAGTTAACCATGCCTTCACATTGAACTCTTGTTAAACTTGTGAATTAAACTTGTATTTCATGGCCTTTTATCTTTTTATCAAGCATCGTGACCCCTTGTATATCGGTTTCATTAATGTACTTAGTGAACTTGCACATTTGTCTTGGAATGATTTAATTACTCATATGTTACTTAGTAAGTACTTGAATCATTTATCTTATACTTGTGGTATTTTTCCTTTAATGGATTCCATGTGCTATATATATATATATATATATCTTGGTTCTAATCTATATTGATGCATACTATGATTTCTTGACATTTCGCATGCCATCATAGTTAAGAACTTAGGGCATGACTTGTGTGTTCCAAAATCTTGGTTGTGCATGAAATGTGGTTTAATGCATTACTTGTATCTTGATACTATCTTGACTTGCACAACTTGTTGGTTTTGGGACTTGGGATATCAATCAAGAAGTGACATGGCTAGGACTTGGTTCTAGTACAGGAGATAGAGAGCTCCCTACACTATAGAGCGTACTAGGGGAAGGTACCCATGGGTTAGTAGCCCTAAAGTGATCCCAAGAGTACGGTTTTAATCCGGGCGATATTCGAGTTTCCACATTGGTTGATTTCACTCTTTAAATTTTAAGTTGCTTTTCCTTGAAGATTTAAAACTTGTCGTGTTATGTGAAATGCTCCAATCTTGTTTCATGGCATAGATATTATGCATCATCCTTGATTTCATGTACTATTCTTGTCTTGTTAATTGGAATGCTCCAATCATGTTAATTGCATTGATAATGTAATTCTTGTTAACTTATATCCGAGTATACCTCTTGTCATGTTAATTGGTATGTTTTAATCATGTAAATTGCATTGATAATGTGATCCTTGTATTCTAGTATTCTCTTGTCGTGTTGCATGGATTATTCCAAACCTTGCTTAATTGTATTGATAATGCAATTATGTTGATCTATATTCAAGTATCCTTCATATCATGTTCTTTGGATTATCCCAACCTCGATTTGTTTCATATATGTATATATATCATGATTCTTGTAGATATTACTCTAAGGTAGCTTAGGATGTTCCCTGAGTCTCACCTTTGACATAGACGTTAGGTGGCATGACTATTTTGAACTGTTTCATGTTAATCTAAAAATCTGAAAGAAATCGAGTCTAGGCATGCTCATTCTCTACGAGTAAACTTGTTTACTCACCCCAAAGTTACTGGGGGTATTGTTCAGGTATAGGATTCAAGACTCGGAGATTTGCGCTTGCCTTGGGTGGTTTGGAGATTTGAAGTTTCGTTTAAAGTGTTCTTGTTTACATGTAAGTATTAGCATGTTTAAGTTTTACCTTAAAAATTGTAGTACTTAGTTAGGTCCAATATGCCATTTTTGCCTAATGATATGTAAAGTGTACTTAGATGCACTATTTAGAACCTATTTCACATGTATGACAAGAGGCCAAGCGCCAAGCATGTTTATATTTGCACTTGTACTCATTTGGCGTCACCTTTTGTTTAAAAATGTAATTTTTCCAACTTTGGAGGTTTGGCATGTCAAATCTTGTAAATGGAATGTAATGAGGCCGTAGGCCATTGTAGCATGTTTAAAATACCATTTTACACTTGCATGTATATTCACATCATCACACATTAGCATATAATGTAAATTAAACATGCCATGGGGGATTCAAATGAGGTTTAGGAACTCTTTTCAGCCTTGGTGCATAGCAAGCCTGATTTTCAGTTTTTTGACCTGCTTCGGTTGACAAATAGCCTGTTTCGGTCGACTGGTTCATTGGTCAATTTGGTTTGAATAGTTTTTTGTCAATTCCAGTAGCCATTTTTCATCTCGAGCCACAAACCGGTTGACCGGTTTGTCATTTCGGTCGACCGAAATGAAGGCTCATTCTTCTCTTTTTTCCTGGCTTACTTCGGCCGACCGAAGCTCTATTTCGGTCGACCGAAATGGAGCTGCCTTGTGGGTCTTATTTGGTTTTTTGCCTAGACAGGTTAACTTTGTTTCATTCGTTCCCACTTAACCTTGTTGATCTTGTCCAAGCCATCTAATGACGTACGTGGCCTAGTTTGAACTAGATCTCGTTCCTTTGGTTGTCATTGGTGCCATAGCGTACCATTTAACCTTTTTATCCTACTTTTCGCTTCCGGTTATTTCCTTGGGTTTTGTGACTTTATGGAAGGTCACATTTGCGTCTAAGAGATGATCTATATCTCTTAAGACTTTGGTTTATCTTTTGCTTCCGCATTTATTTTCTTTGAGTTCCATGACCTCACTGAAGGTCACATTGGTATCTCTAGAGACCGTTGTCTTGTCTTTTACTTCCGCATCTTGGATCTGGTTCGGGTCATCACAGGACACACTGGGTTGAAAAATCTAAGGTCGTTACAGAGAGTTTGGTATTAGGACATAGTAGTGTTGAGACAGCTTTACAATCATCCATTTTGAACTTTTTAAGTAGCTCAAAAGCATACTTTTGCTGAGAGATGAAGATTCCAATAGATGTTTGAGTAATTTGCAGGCCTAAAAAGTATCTAAGAGTCCCCAAGAGTGACATTTTAAACCTTATCTTCATAAGATTAGCAAATTCTGAAGCTAATGAGGTGTCTTAGCCATAAAACATGATATCATCAACATAGATTTGTAGAATTAGGAACTGTTCTTGATGAGTTTTTACATAAAGAGTATTATCAACCTTACCTCTGTGAAATCCTTGTTCAACTAAGAACTGATGTAGCTTTTCATACCAGGCTCTGGGGGCTTGTTTGAGACCATACAAAGCCTTACTTAGTTTGTAAACATAAAAGGGAAACTCTGAATCTTCAAAGCCTTTAGGTTGTTCCAAGTAGACTTCTTCATTTAGATCTCCATTAAGAAAGCAAACTTGACATCCATTTGGTATATTTTGACTTGTTTATAATAGGCAAAAGATAAAAGCATTCTAATGGATTCCATTCTTGCAACTGGAGCAAAAGTTTCATCATATTCAATACCAACCTGCTGAGAGTAACCTTTACACACCAGTCTTGCCTTGTTTCTGATAATTAATCCCTTTTCATCCATCTTGTTTCTATAAATCCACTTTGAACCTATCGCATTCTTGTCTTCAGGTCTAGGAACAGTTGTCTAGGTATCATTCTTGTGAATTTGATCAAGTTCCTCTTGCATGGCAGCTAACCAATCTTTACTTTTCTAAGCTTCAAAATAGGACTTTGGTTTAATGGATGACAGCATTGCAAAGTGACTGTATTCTTCACCATCTTCAGCTTCTAAATCATTTAGCTTCTTTTTATTTCTTGTTTGAACTCCAGCTTGAGATGAACCAATGATGTTCTCAGCTTGAACCTGCTTCTGTAGCACTAGATAATTGATTTCTCTTAGATCTTTAGGTTTAATAACAGAGGAACTGGTTTCATTTGAACCAAAAGTATTGGCATAGTCTTCAAGAGGTGTGGACTTAGGATTCTCATCAAACTTCACATGAATTGACTCAACCACCTTTGAAGACCTTAGATTGTAACACCTGTAAGCTTTATTTTTTGTAGAGTATCCCAAGAATATGCCTTCATTTGCCTTTGAATCAAACTTGCCCAAACTATCAATGTGATTCAATATGTAACATTTGCTGCCAAATATTTTGAAGTAGTGAACAGTTGCAGGTCTTCTATACCATAATTTATAAGGTGTTTTGGTTGAATTAGGTCTGAGACGAACCCTATTTATGATGTGCACAGTAGTACTCACAGCTTCAGCCCAAAAACCCTTTGCTAGATCTTTTTCTAAAAGCATTGTTCTACCTATTTCTTGAACTGTCCTGCTCTTCCTTTTTACAACCCCATTCTGTTGAGGAGTAGCTACAGCTAAGAATTCTTTCTTAATACCCTTGTCATCACAATAATGCTCAAACTCTTTCATGATGAATTCAGAGCCAAAGTCAGACCTAAGTCTCTTCACAGTGCAGCTTCTTTCATTTTCAACAAGATTGACAAACTTAATGAAATGTGTAATAGCCTTAGATTTTTCTTTCAAGAAGTAAACCCACACCATTCTACTAAAATCATCAATAAGAAGCATGAAGTACTTACTCCCACCAATACTAGTAGTTCTAGTAGGACCATAGAGATCCATGTGTATCAGGTCAAGAGCTCTTGAGGTGTTGATTTCTTTTGAAGGAAATGAAACTTTGGTTTATTTTCATTGTTAGCAGGCTTTTCAAAGATGATCATCTTTAAAATTGAGTTCAGGAAGTCTTTTAACAGCTTTTAGCTTCAGAATCTTGGACAAATTTCTTGAATGAAGATGCCCTAGTTTCTTATGCCACAGATTAGCTTCATCATAGGTTGTCAAGTTGCATTGAGTAGCTTGGAATTCTTCAGTGACAATATAAACATTTCTTGATGATCTACATGCTGAGAAGAGAACCTGTTTTGATTTAAGATCAACCACATTGCACTTTTCTTTCTCAAAACACACAGTCCTCCCATTGTCACATAACTGACTCACACTAAGAAGGTTTTGTTTGAGTCCTTCAACAAGTAAGACTTCTTGAATCTTAGGCAATTCTTCAGACTTGCTCACAGTACCTATACCAACAATTTTAGCTTTCTGATTGTCTCCAAAGATCACATCTCCATAATCAAATTGTTTCAGAGTGATAAATTTAGAGCCGTCACCTGTCATATGTCTTGAGCAGCCACTGTCAATATACCATTTGTCCACTTTGTTACAAGCCTTGAAAGCTGTATACATAAGCAAATTCACTGAGTTTAACTTCTTGGGAATCCACATCATGCTGGATTTCACAATAGAATCTTTGTTCTTGACCTTCTGAGCTTGAGCTATATTAGACTTCTTCATATACATTCTGGTTACTTTGAAGTTCCCTATAAATGTTGTAACAAAATCACTTCTGTTTAGTCTTGAGGAGTTCAAATTGTTGTCAAGCAAATTAAATTTTGATCTCAAGGATTTTATGACAGGATACCTTATATACACTTCACCAGTTGTGGTTTTGACAAATATAGAGTGAGTTTGATTGACCTTTGTGGTTGAATCACACATATAGCCAATTCCAATCTGCCCAATTTACTTTGTGGATTGCTTCCAGATCTCAGCCACCTTTAGGGATCTTTCTTCAAGGATGAAAGACAGTTCTTCTTTACACTTCTTGGTAGACCACTGAGTGTTGACTTGAGATTTCAATAGGCTTTAAAAAATAAGAGAAACTGAACACAGCATTGACAGTTTAAGTTTGAAGTGTTTAGTGAGAACTTGTTTGAACTTTAACAATTCTAAATTGAGCCTTTTTATTTGAGACTTCTGTTGATTACACTTTACAGCAAGCCTTTCACATTCTTCAAGAATTTCCTCAATCTTAGTGTCACTATCTTCTTCAACTTGAATTGGAATTTGTAGTGCTTCAAGAATAGCTATAAAGAGACATTCATCTTTTTATGTCTCCTCAGGTTTATCTTCTTCAGGAGCTGCATCCCAGTCTGCGATAAGTGATTTTCTACCAAACCTTCCTTTGTAGTTTCCTCCTTCATTCTTCTTCTGACTTTACCCCTTTGAGTTAGGACAATTAGATACAACATGACCAAGTTTACCATAACCATAACAGGTTAAATTTTGTAGCTGATTCTTCTTTTTAAACCTGAACTTTCTGAATTTCTTAGCAAGGTAGGCTACCTCATCTTCTTCAAGATCATCTTTAGACTTTGTTTCAGTTTCAGTTTCTTCAACAACTTCCTTTGCTTTAAGAGCAGTTTCTCTTCTATGAACAACTGGAACACCAATTCTCATTTCATAGGCAGTGAGAGAGGCTTGAAGCTCATCAATCTTCACCTAAGAAGATCTTTGCCTTCGAGAATCGTTACTTTAGGATTGAATCTAGAAGTGAATGACCTTAGTATCTTCTTACAAACATCAACATCCTTAATATCTTCACCAAGAGCTCTCATATTGTTGACAAGGTCATTGATCCTGAACATGTACTCAGCAACAGTTTCTCTTTCTTCCATCTTACAGACCTCATACTGAACTTTGAATAGTTGTATCTTGTTCTCCTTAATAACTTATTTCCCTTATGAGTTGCCTGAAGAGAATCCCACATTTAGTTGGCTATTTTACAATTCTTAACTCTGGTAAACTCTTGTTGCCTCAAGGCACAAACAAGAACATGTTTAGCCTTGCCATCATTAGCCACAGCCAATTTATCTTCAGCAGAGGGGTTATCAGGATTAGGAATCACAACACCATGTACTATAGCATGCCAAACATCATAGGACTGAGACATTAAGAAGGCTTCCATTCTAGTTTTCCAAGAATCGTAGCTTAAACCTTCAAACCCTGGAGCTTTGTTGATAACTTGACCATCATCCATTGCTGGGATCAACTGCAGGCTTATTAGAACCTCATAATACAGACCAAAGCTCTTATACCAATTGTTGAACCAAGAGGGGGGTGAATTGGTTAAAACTTTGCTTTATAATATGTTCTCAAAACAACTAAACAAGCATTCAAAGAACAAATAACACAAGGTTTACAAGGAAACCCTTTTAACTAGGGAAAACCTTGGTTCTTGGCCTCGGCCAATAAGCAATCCACTACTAGCTGTATGTACCTTGTTACACACTCAACTGTCTCACTCTCTGCACACACCCAAGCATAAGAATAGACACTAGTTTTCACAACCAATACATATACTAGTACACCACAGTGCATTCTGAGCACTCCCCCTGTCCTAAGCAACCATGCTTGGACCAAATAAGCTCTCATAGCGCACCACACACACCATTACAGATGGAATTCAGTACAATAAAGTCTTTGCAACAATTAAACTAAGCTGGACAACACAAAATTCCAAGTTATTGCCTCAAAACCACAATCTGCAACACTTAGGGCTTGAGGGGTAAAATTGGAAATTCCTCTCGAGATCAATTCACCAGCACCTTACACAGTCTTCTTTCACTGTTGTACTCATGGTCATAGCTTTGCACAATCAAACACAGCATGAGTATATCACAAAGTTCAGTTATAGTCCTAGCTTCAGCATGCAATAGCTTCAGCACAAAATAACTTCAATACAAAATATCTTTAACACACAATATCTACAGCATTAAGGTTTGAATACTCAAAATCAAAGCATACCATATTTCTGTTATAAGCTTAACTTTAACAATCTTGATTCATCAAACATACTTACTAGCAAAATAACTCATCATGAAATAGCTAAGCATAATCAAACAACACTTGAATCCAAGATTAATTCAGAAACACAAGATTAACTAGTAACCACATTGTCCAAATTCATTTTCAAGATATTCTCAACACAAACACAGTCTGAGCAAGTGTAAAAAGATGAATTATACCTGTGTTAACCTTCAGAATAGACCACAACTGCTTGGAATACAAATTAACTGCTCAGCACAGCCCTTGCATCAATAAAATTGACAGCAGCCTCATCTCAGCAATTAGTACACACCCTAGAGTTGATTTAATGAATTTTTCTTACATGGATCATCATCAAACCACAGAGAAAAACTTGTTTGACATAGTATGCTCGAGGGTTCTCAGTAGCAGCTCAATGTGCAATGTATATTCAAGAGGCTTGAACCCTAAGAATCACTATAATAGCATATTTATAGTGAAACTGAATTACACACGGCCTCACACACCAAGGATATACACCTGTCACCTCTAGCCAATGATTAAGAGAGCATATTTTAGATATTTTCAGAGCAATGCACCAATGCAGGCCTGCCACCTCAGCTAATTTGTCACTATTCTCACCAGCTACAGCAGGTTGTAGGTTGTACGCTGTAATGCCAACTTTATCCAAACTTAGCCTCTAAGAAATTTAATATTCTTGCATATACAACCATTCTAGGACCACTGATACGTGGTACATTCTTGAGCACTACTGGTAAAAACTAATATGCCCTCAAAACAGATTTTAAACCTTCTCAGCCAATTAATGGTGCTGAAGCAATATAACTCACAATGTAGGCTCGCTCAAGGCTGTTAAATGCAATACAACTATCAAGGCACACGTATATATATGAAATATAACTAAGAAAAGACCATAGTACCCCTGTAAGCACCTGTAGCCAAAACTGAAGTGCTGAACCTTCACTGTTACAGTGATTTTAATCAAAACAGGCTGAACCATTGCAATGAGCAATTACAGACCAGTGTATAAAATGTGTCACTGAGAAGTAGATAACAGAACTACCCTCAGACCTTATTTCAAAACACAATGCAGGTAGAATTCATTCTTGAAGCAACTGAAATACCTCTTTTTGACATTAAACAGGCAAACATACTTTAAGACACCTTAGGACCAACAATAATGCCTATAGAAATAAATATAACAATACGAGCTATTAAAAATAGCATACTAGTGATTTAAAATGTGGGTAAAGCCATGTACCTTTGCATGACCTATTCACATCCATAAAAAGGTAACCATTAATAGACACTTTAAATCCATACTTGTAATTCAAATAAGTTTCCTTATATTATTTTTACTTTTATTTTTTTATTTTTATTTTTTTTATTATAGTAGTTGATATTGAAGGAAACCATAATAATCAATGTGACTTAATGATTACGTTCTATTGATCACAACTTGATAACCAAGTTTGCCCACATGTTATATATAAAATAAAAATAACAGCCAATATATATATCCATTCACCCCAAATCAAGATGCGTCGCCTTTGAAATTTCGCAACACCCACTGAACCCATCCTTGTTATATGGATCAGATCCTAATTTAATAACCCAATACTTACCACATGATATATGTAAAACAAAATAAACCACCAATATATATATATATATGTCAAATTACCCCAAACCAAGTAATGAGCATCTGCAATTTTGCAAAAGAAAAGAAGAATTCAAAGAACTCAAATTCCCAGCCATGAGTACTGAAAAAAAATCGCCAAGCACAATCAAAATAAATAAAGAAACAATAATAACTAAATAAATTATTAAAACAACAATACCCAACAGTCCCATTTGGGCATTAAAATCCAAAATACCAACTATATATGTATATATATACATGATTTTATGAACATACCAACAGGCCTGTAGCCTAGCGGTACAAGGCTGCTACTTCCCAAAGGGAGGTCAGGGGTTTGAACCTCGGTGGAGGTAGTGTGTGTGAGTCCCAACAAGGAAAAAAAAAAAAAAAGATTTTATGA